CTCCCTTCTACTCCCATCTCATGGGGCAAAACAAGTCACATGGCCACATCCAACTTCGGGGTTCAGGAATTGAACCCGAAATACTCAATGGACCCCACTAAGGCCACCGCATGATGGCCTCCTGTCGGGGGGACTGTGGAGGGGCCAGGGAGGGTGGGGAATTGGTAGGAAACGACAGCAGGACTGAGCCCGGATTTGCTTTGTCCTCAACCAGGTGGAGTTTGTCCCAGAGCTGCCCAAAACTGTCACGGGCAAGATTAGACGGAGTGAACTGCGGAGAAAGGAGTTTGGTTTGATGTAACCAGCAATAGACCCGGAACCCACTGTGCACACGGCGCAAACTCCTGGCCGCCTCGGTTTCCTCGCTGTGGTGGGGGTGAGGAAGGCGTCTCGAGAGGGTTGCTTTGGAAGGGTGTCAGGACAGCCAAGACTCCAACATTTTTGTTCATTTAAGCTAAATTCAGTTGCTATCCATCTTCCAAGTCCTGTGTTCCTTTAGGGATGCCCAGGTGAGCACTCGGGTCGGGGCTGCGGTTGCAGGTAATAAAATACTGATGTCAGCGACCCGCCCTGCTGTGCCTTTGTGCTGCGGCTGCCATGGTGAACACCCCTCTGTGATGCTGCAGCATCCCAGCGCCCCCAGGGCCGGATCCTCCCTCCTGGCCCCACACCCATTCGAAAGCCACAACGCGGGTGCAGGAGGAACACGCCACCAGGCCCCGGGCACCTGCCCCTGCCCTGGGGGGAGGCCCCGGGGGCCATGGCAGGGGTGGCCCAGGGTGGTCAGCGGTGGCCTGGGGACCACACTTGCCGGGCAGAGCACACCCCACCCCCACGCCCAATGTGTCCTCTGCCTTGTGTCCCCCAGTAGTGCTGCTGCCCCTCATGCTGCACCCGTCACCCACGTGTGAACGAGCGAGGGGCCAGGAGCCCCATTCCCCAGCTTTCCCCCACAGGCACCACATGCTCACGCCTTCCCAGGGACCCAGCAGCTCTGTCCTGCAGCTGGTTTAGGGGCTCCACTCACCCGCTCTCCCAGGGCCCAGGACTCGCTCCATTCCAGGGTCCTGCCCAGACACCTCCTTTCTTTCAGTAAAACCCCCTGCAGGAAAGCAAAGCCTCCCACCACCCTGGCCTGTGTCCTGTGAACTGACCCTTCGTTCCGTGCCCCTGGGGACCCAGATGGGACCACAGGGACCCCCAGGGGCTGGGAGGAGCAGGGGCAGAAGGGGCCCAGCCTGGGGGTGGGAGAGGCACGCGTTCTCCCCCGCTTACCCACCCTGGGAGTCACCATGGAGAGTCTGCTCTGTGGCTGCAGGTTGCCGAGGTGCACAGACACACCCAATCACAGGGAAAGGAAAGGACACCACAAGTTCAGAGACGCGCAGGCACAGGACCACCCCAGGGTCACTGGGGATCGCAGGTGTGTGGCTCATGGACAGGCTCACAGAGACCCACGCTGCGGACACACCCAGTGACACCCCCAGGAGAACATGTACACACAGATACACTCAGGGCTGAGTGACACAGCCCCTCAGGGCAGACCCCCCCACACAACGGACACACAGACACAGAAGGACCGACACATATATACTCACATACCCAGAGACACACCAGCACACACCTACAGGCAGAGACACAAACACAGAACACACAGACACCAAGACAAACACCAACACACAGGTATGATCAGAGCACCCAGTTGAGTAGCAAATTCACACACACACAACCAACACACACACACCAAACAGAGACCAACACAGACACTCCCACAGGGACACATACGTCAATAGTCACACACATTATGCAGTCACAGATTTACACAACTGACACACATTCAGGGACACAGACACGCACATGCACAGAGACACACAGACAAAAACACAGAAACACACAGAGAGGGTTGCACAGCAGAAAACTCACACCCACAAGTGACATGCTCACAGACACAGACACTCAGAGGCCCAGTCGCATACACGCAGATCTACACAACCACAAGCACACACACACACTCCCCGACAGCCCTGGCACCCCGGGGGGCACTCCATGGGCACTCGGGGAGAGCAGAGCCTGGCATGACCTGCCCCAGCCGAGCTGCCGTGGAAGGGGAGCTTCCCAGGTTCCAAACGCAGTGCTGGGCGCCTGCCCCTTCCAGGGCCTTGCGGAGGGCTGTGCCTAGGCCTGAGATGCCAGAAAGTGGCCAGGGAAGGGGGGCCCTGGGGACGGGCACAGGGCTGGGACTGGGACCCCGCCAGGGCATGGTAGAGTGGGGGGTGTTGCATGGGGCTCAGCAGATCTAGAGGTCAGGACAGGGAGAGACAGAGAGAGGTGATCCCAGGCCCTCCCCATGCCAGAGTGGGCTGGCGCCCTCTGCCCCACATACTGGTATTGTCAGGAAGGTAGGGTGATACTATGTCATCATCATAGCAGTGACTGACCACTCACCCGCACAGGGAGGGGCTGGGCTGGGAATGCGGCCCCCTGGCTGGGTGTCATCTGAGCACAGCCCACCCGAGCAAAGCTGGGCAAAGCCTCTCTCTGGCCCCACCTCCCTCAGGAGTCTCCAGACCACAGCTTCCCCTCTGCCATCACCCCCTCCCACACCCAAGTCCCCCAGACCCTATCTCTGCCTGGGTACAGCCCCTCCCCGACCACTGTGCACCTGCCTCCCCAGCTGTGTAAGCGGACAGCCATGGTGCCTCAGGGTCCCAGGAGGTGACCCACAGGAAGTAAAGTGCTTAGCATAGATGGGAACAGGAGAACAGGAGGGGCTATCCCCGATCATCTTTTTTTCTTTTTTTTTTGGAGACAGAGTCTCACTGTGTTGCCCAGGCTAGAGTGCCATGGTGTCAGCCTAGCTCACAGCAGCCTCAAACTCCTGGGCTCGAGCAATCCTTCTGCCTCAGCCTCCTGAGTAGCTGGGACTACAGGCCCACGCCACCACACCCAGCTGATTTTTTCTATTTTTAGTAGAGACAGGGTCTCGCTCTTGCTAAGGCTGGTCTCGAATTCCTGAGCTCAATCAATCCTCCTGCCCCAGTCTCCCAGAGTGCTAGGATTACAGGCGTGAGCCACTGTGCCCGGCCTGTCTTGTTCATCTTTACTGCCTTTTTTATCTTATTTTATTTTATTTAGGGACAAGGATCTTGCTATGTTGCCAAGGCTGGCCTCCAACTCCCAGGCTAAAGCGTTCCTCCAAGTAGCTGGGATTACAGGTGCAAAACGCCATGCTGGGCTCATTACTGCTCTTAACAGCCCTGGACCCACCAAGGTGTCAGTTCTAGTAGTAAAAACACCGCTGGGAGGTGACGATGAACACGTGCACAGGTGCTCAACAGACCACGTCCTCCTGTCCTCATGACAGTCTGTGCAGCAGACATTGGCATTCCCATGGTAGGGAAGGACAGCAGCCCATGGTCACCCAGCTGGTCAGCCCCCTGGCCCTGCAAAGGACTCCTGGCCCTGCCTCCAGGAGCCACAAAGGCCCCCCATTGGGTGGGAGCCAGACACTGGCTTTGGGGAGCACTTCCTGAGCTACGGAATGACCTCCCCTGTTTGAAGCCCCAAACTGTGCACTTCTTCCTTTCCCTGTCTCTGCTTGGGCTATAACCAGGGTGACCCCGGCAACACTTCATGGAAACCACGGGTCTCTGTCCCATTCACTTTTGGACTAATCTGACTTCAATCCCTCCTATACCTGGTCTCTTTATATGACCGGGATAACCCTATTCTGGGGTCCTTTATGCAGGCAACAGCATCTAAGGAGAATGTGATACTATAATACCATTCTTTCGTTATAGTTCTGTTTTGCTTATTTTTCAGGGTTTCTTTGTACTTGTGCTAAAAGACATTTGTTTTCCACTTACAGCAGTGATATAATGTTTCATATGTACAACACAGTTATGTAAGAATAAAGAGCAATGGGGTACACAGCAGTGATTTTAAGCTGTCAGGGGCCTGAATGAATTTGGGAACATTCTGTGCAATCAGGCAGAATAAAACCTTTAGGAGGTTCAGCTAAGGATGGGGCCCGGGAAGGATGGTCATCGGTGGGGGTTTGTCCTGGTCACCTGGGCCCCTGGGCCCTGCTCACCAGTGGGGCACTGCCCACCCATCACTCCTGCTGCTGCCAAGCCCTCTGGATATTGTCCCCAGATCCCCCAGGATAGAAGCTGATGAACTTTGTCTCTTAAAAGGATCCCTGGAGATCCTTGGGAAGTGAACTGTCAAAGTCAGCTTAGTTTTTCCCCCATTTGGCTTCAAAATTTAAAGTCCAGGCTCACAGGCAGTAAGGTGACATAGATAAATGGCAAACCCACCCCTGTTTCAGATGCTCACATGTCTAGGTTAGTTAGGGGTGATGTGAGACCACACAATCTTGCTACACAAAGTGGAATTCCCACCCCAGAAGAAGACATTTTATTACCATATTATCATGTCATTCAGATCAAATATATTGTTTTCTTTTGGATTTTTTTCTTACATTTATATTTTACTCAAAAGATACTTCTGAATTTCCAACCCAACGGGAATTTTTAGGTAGCTTTTTATTATTGACTTCTAGCACAATTACATTATCAGAAACATGCAGTGTGATTTATTCCTCTGAAATGTGTTGAAATTTGCTTTAGGAACCAAAAAATAGAGTTAATTTTTGTAAATGTACCATGTGTGCTTAAAATTACAGTATCTGCTACAGTTGTTCCATTAAAAGGATGTTAGATAGATAATAAATAAATATGGTTGAGGTGGTTTTCTATTTGAATCTTCTACATCTCAGGGGTGTTTTGTCGCTTACGACATGAGTTGTTGAGAGAGGGGTGTGACACCTGCCACTCTGCGTGTGTGTCGGATCCTTCCTGAGATTCTGTCATCATTTGCTCTCTATGTTTTGCAGCCCAGACTGACCAGGGGAACCCTTGGGAGTTCGAGAAGGAAGGAAAGGCCCAGAAGCCAGGACAGGGGAGCTAGGTTGGGGAGGATGAGAGGTCAGAAGGTCAGAGAAGGTTGCAGAGAGGACCTGTTAGCACCTGGTGAGGTTCAAGCAGGGTAGGGGGTGACCTCAGAAAGAGGTGAAGTGGCAAGGGGGTGTCCACAGTGATGCACCAGGGGCAGACAGGTGATTGGTCCACAGGGAATATAAAGCACCTGGTTGCTAGAGCAGGGACCACACGGGAGTAAGGTTTGAAGGGTAGCAGAGCTCCGTGCCCCTCCAAATTATCCTGAGTGTCCCACTCACTTGCCCCTCTCAAACTGCTGATCAGCTGACCTGCTCACACCCTGACCTGTTGCTAAGCCCTCATCCCACACCTTGAGAACTTGGTTTGACCCAGATACTTCCCCAGACACCCACTTCTCCTCCACCTGCCAGGTGCCCAACACCCCCCTTTCCTCCACTCTGTCCCCTCCCCCGCTTCCCAATTGCAGCTCCACCCCCATTCTGAGCCCCCATCAGTCCCCCCCACCCCCTGACCCACCCTGCCTCCTCCTGGCAATCTCAGGGTGCCCTGAGAGGACCTGGACATGGAGGTGAAGAGGCTGATATTCTGGCCCCTCCT